ACATTTATGTGGTGCTGAGGATCGGACCCAGTGCCTCGTGCATGCTAGGCGAGCGCTCTACCCCTAAGCCAGGACCCCAGCCCTAGATATGGTTTTGTTATTGGATTTTTGCTTTTGTTTGGGCGCTGGGGATTGAACCCAGGGGATGCTTTACCCCAGAGTCTGCTTTTTGAATTTTTAAACTTTTCAGACAGTCTCTGCTAAGTTGCTGAGGCTGGCCTTGAACTTGCGATCCTCCTGCCTCAGTCTCCTGAGACTCTGGAGACTGCCGGTTACGAGTGGGCAGCACCCTACCCAGACAGATAAAGTCTTTTTTTAATCCAGCTCCATGCAGAGTGATGTGTTGTCTTTTTAACCAGATTGTGGACTATTTGGGGGCAGAGATTATTTTTTTTCCTAAATATTTCTTCCAAATGAGCTGTGAGGGTAATATTATGATCAAGAATTGTTGTTTTGTTATTTTTGTTTTTCCCTGATATTTGCAAAGACTTTATCAGTGGAACATCCTGAAATGCAAATCTGAAATTGGAGATGCTCCCCAAATCCAAACCTTCTTGTGCATCATTTTGCATATGATGCAGAGAAGAGCACAGGCCTCAAAGGCATCAGGTGAGGGCTGTGCCTCCTTTAGAAGGCAAGGTCAGTGTGTGAGTCAGCTTCCCGTTACTGTAACAAAACGCCTGAGATAATCAAATTAAAAGAGGAAAGATTTACTTTTGCTTACAGTTTCGGAGTCTGAGGTCCATGGTTATTTGCCCCTGTGGCAACTCAGAGCATCTTGGTAGGCGTGGATGAGGATGCATGTGGGTGAGGATGCCTGTTTACCCCATGGTGACTGGGAATCAAGGACGGAGGAAGGGACTGAGACACACCCCCAATGACTAACTTCCTCCCAGTAGGCCTCACTCCTAAGGGTTCCACCCCCACCCAAGAGTGCCACAGACTGGCAACCAAGTCTTTAGCATTTAAGGTCTTTGAGGGACATTCAAGATCCAAACCATAGCTGATGGCTATAATTATAATCATCAACATATAATTATCCCCAAAAAGCTATGGGTTAGGAGCAAGTATGGACCCCACTCTAGAGAGGAGGAAAATGTGACTCAGAAGAATCACCTACAAAGTATAACGGAGATCCCAGGCTGATTCCCCTTCCAGCCCATTCTCATTTCAGCATGCCAGCTCCTCCTTACCTGAGGCTTCTCCTTCTATGGTTTTGGCTACCCAGTGTCAATTGCAGCATTAAAAAATATATATTGAATGGAAAATCCCAGACGTCAACAGTTTATGAGTCTTAATTTGTGTGTCCTTCCGAGGGGTGCCACAAAATTTCATGCCATCCCACTTCGTTCTGCCCTGGGGGCATGAATCATCCCTCTGTCCAGAGTTTCCACATTGCGTATGCTACTCTCCTGTTCGTCACTTTGTAGCATCTGGTTACCAGCTTGACTGCCGAGGTGCTTGGGTTCGAGTCCTTGTTATGTGATGGCCTAACACTACGTCACAATGCCTGGTCACTTCATCTCCTCATGTGGACTCTGTGTCACTTCACATTATCACAAGAAGGAAGACATTGTGAGAGGGACCATATTCATATAACGTTTACCACAGTATATTGTCATGATCCTGAACATACTCAGTGTGGCTCTTTCTCTCCCGTCCCCGTCCCTCTAGCACCCATTATCTCTGCAGGATCATGAACGTGTCTATGACCATCACCCACCCTCCCCCAAGACCTGCAGGGATCTCAGGTGTAAATCAGACCACGTCAGCCCACCAACAAGATTCTCTAATGGTCCTTTATTGTTGCATGAGCCTTTGGAGGTCACTTCAAACTGGACCAGTCAGGAAAGGTCACTCGGAGGAAGTAACATCTAAACTGAAACCCAGAGGATGAGGTAAAGAAAGAACATTCCAGGCGGAGGTGATGGGGGGGGGTGGGGGGAGAGCACATGCAAAGTCCCTGGGGCAGAAAGGAGCTTGGCATATTCGAGGCACATGGAAAAGCCCAGCATCCTACTGCAGCACCGAGATCCAAGGGGAGTGTGGTGTGAACCTGGAGGGCTAGGCACTATCCAAATCACCCATCCCTCGATATTTGGCAGGACAGGAAGTTTTCCTCTCTTCTGAAGACAATGGGAGGTTTCCAGCCACAGAAGTGCTGTAGATTGGATTTGGAATGTCCCCCCCCCAAAAAAAAAAGCCCATGTGTTAAAAGCTTTTCCCCCAGAATGGTGCTAATAGGACATGGGAGAAATTTTAAGAGGTAGAGCCT